GCCCACGCTGACAGCCAAGTGTGCCGGGTGCCCACGCTGACAGCCAAGTGTGCCCGTGTGCCCACACTGACAGCTAAGTGTGCCCGGGTGCCCACGCTGACAGCCAAGTGTACCCGGGTGCCCACGCTGACAGCTAAGTGTGCCCAGGTGCCCACGCTGACAGCCAAGTGTGCCCAGGTGCCCACGCTGACAGCTAAGTGTTCCCATGTGCCCATGCTGACAGCCAAGTGTACCCATGTGCCCACGCTGACAGCCAAGTGTACCCGGGTGCCCACGCTGACAGCTAAGTGTTCCCATGTGCCCATGCTGACAGCCAAGTGTACCCATGTGCCCACGCTGACAGCCAAGTGTACCCGGGTGCCCACGCTGACAGCTAAGTGTTCCCATGTGCCCATGCTGACAGCCAAGTGTACCCATGTGCCCACGCTGACAGCCAAGTGTACCCGGGTGCCCACGCTGACAGCTAAGTGTTCCCATGTGCCCATGCTGACAGCCAAGTGTACCCATGTGCCCACGCTGACAGCCAAGTGTACCCGGGTGCCCACGCTGACAGCTAAGTGTTCCCATGTGCCCATGCTGACAGCCAAGTGTACCCATGTGCCCACGCTGACAGCCAAGTGTACCCGGGTGCCCACGCTGACAGCTAAGTGTTCCCATGTGCCCATGCTGACAGCCAAGTGTACCCATGTGCCCACGCTGACAGCCAAGTGTACCCGGGTGCCCACGCTGACAGCTAAGTGTTCCCATGTGCCCATGCTGACAGCCAAGTGTACCCATGTGCCCACGCTGACAGCCAAGTGTGCAGCGTGCCTGTGCCCACGATGGCAGTGCCATAGGACACACGGGATGTGCAGCCAGTTCCCAGGCAGGCACGTGGCTCAGGCTTTCTGCGCAGCTTTGAAGGAAGAGCTGGTACTTTGTGAAAAGACTTCCCTGCTGCAGCCTCAGAGAGCATGGCTCCTAGTCCCAAACAGGCCTTTCTCCGCATAATGGACTTAAACAGAGTCCCGAGATAGTCAGTCGCCTTCACCACAGAACGGCTGCCGCAGAAGCACCATCTAGAGAACGCTGCTTCGCACCAGAGTGTCCAGGCTCCCTGCCCTGCCCCGCTCTCCGACTGCAGAAAGCCCTCCCGTGGCTGCCCTCGGCTCGGGTGCGCACAGAATTCTTGGCTTCCGGACAGTTCTCCAGCACCAGCTGGGGTCCCCTGGCCTGATTGTGGCACTGTTTTCCCCGAGCTACTCGAATCTGACCTCGCAGGTTCAGTCCTGCAAGCCTCCCCCCCCCCCCCCCCCCCTCCACCGATCCCAACCCCAGCTTCCCCTGCACTCCTGCCCGAAGCTGTGAGCCTGGCTCCCAGGACGCCCTGCCTGGGTTTGGTCATTTGCTAAAACGTCTCACAGACCTCAGAGAAATACTGGTTTATCATGGAAGGGATGACGGAGGGTGGAGGCGAGCATTGGACAGAAGAGAGGCACAGGGCAGGTGTGGGAAGGCGGCAGATCCGTGCCTCTCCGGGTGCTGCCCCAGCCCCCCAGCCCCACCAGCGCTCAGCAGCCTGGACACTCTGGGCCTAGACCAGGGGTGGGCAAACTTTTTGACTCGAAGGCCACAATGGGTTCTTAAACTGGACCAGAGGGCCGGAACAAAAGCATGGATGGAGTGTTTGTGTGAACTAATATAAATTCAAAGTAAACATCATTACATAAAAGGGTACGGTCTTTTTTTTTTTAGTTTTATTCATTTCAAACGGGCCGGATCCGGCCCGCGGGCCGTAGTTTGCCCACGGCTGGCCTAGACTCTGGTTCTATGGAATCTTCACCACACGGCCCGCCTGGCGCACTCCCCGTCTCCATCCTTCTCTCCTCCTGGAGCAGGGAGGTGGGAGGCCCTGCTTCCTGACCTTGTGCAGGAGCCGCCGGTGTGATTTAAGAACAGGACACTCGTGTCCACCAGGGAAATGCGAGGGTTTTAGTAGCTCTGTGCCAGCAGCCAGAGGCAGAGACCAGTGTATTATTCCCATTATTTACACCGTACGTTCCAAACTTCCATGGAATGGGCGTCGTCTACGCGTTGTTACGCATGTGTGTTTGTGCAGTTAGCACTCCAGTGGCAGATGTGTATTCCCGTTGTGTTACTATCACTTAGCTGCACCCCGGCTGGACCTCCAGGTGTGTTCAGTGTCGCACTGGTTTGCATAGTGAAACTGTGCATGTCCTGGGAACAAAGGCGTATTTTTACCCTGAGGTGTAGCCGTCCCTTAGTCTGCAGGGTTGGTCCCAGGGCACCGGAATTGCGGCTGCCGCAGGCCCCCAGCCTCGGGCCCCCGTTCAGGCGTCTCCAGGTGGTCTGGTAGGGTCCACGTTTTCACTGGTCCCATGTTCTCATTAGCGGTTCTGGACATTATTTCCAAGTCGTTATACTGACAAGCATGTCCATCCGAGATGAGCTGTGTCTCCCCGTGGCCCTAGGCATCACCTCTTTCCTTCGCTTTCACAAGCTTCATGAGTGTGAGTCATCTCATGTCGTTTTAATTTTATACTTTTCAGCTTTCAGACTCTGGCCTATTGCTCCAACTGCGGCACTCATTAACTGTTTCTGTTTGATGTCTCCCAAATAATTTCTTAGGAATGATTACTTTTTACAGGATTAAAGCATATTTTCTTCTTCTTTTTTTAATCTTCACCCATGAATATCTTTCCATTGATTTATTGATTTTTAGAGAGAGTGGAAGAGAGAGGGAAAGACAGAGAGAAACATCGATGTGATAGAAACACATGGATTGGTTGCCTCCTGCAGGCTCCCCAACCAGGATCCAGGCCAGGGAGTAGCCTGTAACCAAGGTATGTGCCCTTGACCGGAATCGAACCTGGAACCCTTAGGTCTGCATGCCGACGCTCTATCCACTGAGCACACAGGCCAGGGCTTAAAGCACATTTTCCTGCCTTACCCCTGACCCTCCTGGGGCGGCTGCACCGAGGCTGTGTGTGCTCGGCCACCGGTGACCTGCTGGCTCGGCTCTGGGGAAGCTGACCGGGGCTAGAGTCTGTGCTAAGGCGGAAACCCACGTTTCTGCACGTTTCTGGGACAAATTATCCAAAAGGGCTTTGGCTTAGAATTCATAAAGCATTCAGAGTGAGTGATGGAAGAGGACTTCCAAAACCAAGGTTTCTAATCAGGACGACGTTTTCTTTTCTCTTCACTGAAGCTTTTACTCTTTAAACAAGATGGACTTGAATTTTTTGAGTGGGGAACACATTCCCATGGTTTGAAATGGGAGAAGTATTGAAGTTACACAGTAAACACTTTCCCGCCCAGCTCCCACCTGTGCGCCCAGGAAATGGCACGGGGCCTTCAGCACAGCCCGGGCACGTGCAGGCTCAGGTCTGCGCCGTTTGCTTCTCCACGAGCGTGTGCGCTGCCTGTTTGCACCTGCTTTCACACGCCTGAGTGAGGCCATGTGTCCGCAGTGTTTCTTAGCTCTTCCTGGTGGTCAGTGCCCGCTGGCTGCACACGCAGGTGCCGTCTGGACGGGGTCTCGGTGAAGGGCTGGCGCTGACGTTGCTTTCCCGTGCGGGCAGGCTGCGTTCCTCCAGGCAGCTCTGCTGGCCACAGCGCGCACACCTGTCATTTCGAGGGCGCGTGACAAGCTGCCCTCGGGGGCGGGACAAGTCCGGGCCTCCTGCGCCTGCGTTTCCTCGTGGCCACGCTTCTCTTTCCATTTCAGAGAAGAGGTGCAACGGCTTCCGCTGCCCGAACGGCACCTGCCTCCCCTCCAGCAAGCACTGCGACGGCCTGCGGGACTGCGCGGACAGCTCCGACGAGCAGCGCTGCGGTGAGTCTGCCCCCCTCCCCCCGGAGCGCGGTGGTTGGGTGTGAAGAGAGTACCCCGTGGACGAAATCTCCGTGGTAGCGACGTGTCCTTCGCTTTAACCGCGCTGCCCCTGACTGCGAGGGAAAGTCTCCCGAGAAGCAGAGCCACTGGAGGTGCATTTGGTTCAGGGCTTGTCTCCTGCGGCGATGAAGGCTGGCGAGACAGAACCTGCAGGTGGCCGGGGGGGCGGGGGGGGCGCCCTGGTGGCTGAGGCTGAGTCCAGGCCCCCGACTGACCTCTGCGTTCTCATGTGGCCTCGGCTCTGGGCTTGCGTCTCCGGTCTTTCTTCTCGTAAGAACACTGTTCCTGCCCGGCCGGTGTGGCTCAGTGGTTGAGTGTCGACCTATGAACCAGGAGGTCATGGTTCAATTCCCCATCAGGGCACATGCCCAAGTGGTGGGCTCCATGCCCAGTGGGGCATGCAGGAGGCAGCCAATCAGTGATTCTCTCTCATCATTGATGTTTCTCTCTCCCTCTCCCTTCCTCTCTGAAATCAATAAAAATGTATTAAAAAAAATAGTAATACTGGTCCTATTGGATCTGAGCTCTGCCCTGGCCCATGTAGCGTCCATTTGCCTCTTTTAACTGTATTTACTTCATTTACCTTAATTGCCCCTTTGAAGGCCTGTCTCCAAATACAGTCCCACTGGGAGTTAGGGCTTCAGCGTACACATTGAGGGGAGGTGGTTACAGTTCAGTCTGACACGGGGCCCTCACAGCAGCGTGTCAGCCCCTGTGTGAGTCACTATCACACTAACAGTGGCTGGGATCCTGGGCTGGGATGTCAGCTTTGGAGTTCGGCTTTGGCTCCGCCCTCCTCAGCTTGCAGAACACTTCCTGGTACTGCCGCCGCCCCTGTTCCCATTTGGAAGCAGGACAGTGAAAGCTTATGGGATTGTGTTGAGAGCTCAGTCATGTCCTTTGGCATCAGGTGCTCAGGTCAGGGCTTGCCATAAACCACACGCTCGGTACATGGCGGCTCTCGCTGCTGCTTCCCGGGCGAGCACTGTGCCAGGTGCGTGGGCCCAGGGCCCGTGAGCTCCCACCCTGTGCTCAGGGCCTCTCCTCCGCCCCTTTCAGAGCCACTCTGCACCCGCTTCATGGACTTCGTGTGCAAGAACCGCCAGCAGTGCCTGTTCCACTCCATGGTGTGTGACGGGGTCGTGCAGTGCCGGGACGGCTCGGACGAGGACGCTGCCTTTGCAGGCTGCTGTGAGTGGGCGGCCCTGGGGGCGGGTTCACGTGGGGAGGTGCTGCCTCTAGTTACAGATTTGATTTTACATTTCCAGTCTTGCATTTCCTTTTTTATTTTCAACATTTTAATATTTTATTGATTTCAGAGAGGAAGGAAGAGGAAGAGAGGAATAGAAACATCAATGATGAGAGAGAATCATTGATCAGCTGCCTCCTACACACCCCCTACTGGAGATTGAGCCCACAACCTAAGCATGTGCCCTTGACTGGAATTGAACCCAGGATCCTTCGGTCTGCAGGCTGACGCTCTATCCACTGAGCCAAACCAGCTAGGGCTGGTCTTGCATTTTCTGAGGAGGACACATGTTTCCTGCTTCAGGAGTCATGCTTAGTAGCTGCTGGTGCACACACAGGAGAGACGGGGCGTGACCTGGGTTTGACGGGCTCTCCTTCCCATCCCTGGAGGCCTCGCCTGCTCATGGCTTCACAGCTCTTGTCCCATGTTGCACAGTGTGTCAGCCTTCCTGCCTGTCTCCCGGGACCGAGGGTGCCCCGAGCAGGCGGAGCCTGGTGTCTGCTGGGCCACCTGCTGGGATGGCCCTGCAGGAAGTGCGTGCAGCATTCGTTGGCTTGGGCGGCCCCAATGAGGGACTATGGACTGCAGCTTAAATGTCAGAAATGCATTTCCTCTGGCCCGGGAGCCTGGGACTCAGGCTCAGAGTGTTGGCAGGTTTGCTCTCCTCCGAAGCCTGTCTCCTCGATGTGTAGGTGCCCAGCATCTCCCAGGTCCTCACATGGTCTCCCTGTGCCTGTCTGTGTCCCCATCTCCTCTCCTTTTAAGGACCTTAGTCATACTGAGTCAGAATTTCACCCTGATAACCTCACCTTAACTTAAGACCTTATCTACAGCCCTGGCTGGTTTGGCTCAGTGGATAGAGCATCAGCCCAGACTGAAGGGTCCCGGGTTAGAGTCTGGGCAAGGGCACCTACCTTGATTGCTGGCTCTCCCCAACCTGGGCCCTGGTCGGGGTGCGTACAGGAGGCAACCAGTCGATGTGTTTCTCTCACATCGATATTTCTCTCTGTCTTTCCCTCTCTCTTCCACACTCCCTGAAAACCAATGGAAAATTATCCTTGGGTGAGGATTAACAAAAAAAATAATAATCCCATATAATAAAAGCCTAATATGCTAAGTGTCCGACCATTCGACCAGTCACTATTACATGCACTGACCACTGGGGGCAGATGCTCCAACCGGTAGGTTAGCTTGCTACTGGGGTCCGGCTGATGGAGACTGGGTGAGATGGGCCGGACATGCCCGGGAGCCCCCCATGGTCCCTCCCCGGCCCTGACCATGCACCGGTGGGGTCCCTCGGCCTGGTCTGTGCCCTCTTGCAATCTGGGACTCTTCAGGGGATGTCGGAGAGCTGGTCTCGCCTGATCCCCGCAGGCTAGGGCGAGGGACCCCCACCGGTGCATGAATCCGTGCACCAGGCCTCTAGTAAATAAATAATGACCTTATCTCCGAATTCTGAGATACGGGGGACGCCTTCACCACTGACCTGCTTTCAGGACATATCCAGCGACAGTCTCTGGATGGAGACTCCCTCCTCCTCCTGCCACAGCCGCGTCACTAGGAACTCTTCGGTGATGAGGTAGCCGGGATCTCATGGACATTTGTCTCTTGTCCAGCCCAAGACCCCGAGTTCCACAAGGATTGTGACGAGTTCAGTTTCCAGTGTCAGAACGGCGTGTGCATCAGTGTGGTCTGGAAGTGTGACGGCATGGATGATTGCGGCGACTACTCGGACGAAGCCAGCTGTGGGGAGGCCGCAGGTCCGTGCCTCCCACGCCTGCTCTGGGGCCGCGGCCCCTGTGGTGGAGGAGGGGCCCTCACTAGCGCCTTTGCACCCCACCTTCACTGCCGCCTTTCTTGGCAGTATTTCCTGCCAGTTCTTGAATCTCCATGTAGGAAACTGAGTGTGAACTGGCCCTGACCCCTGGCAGGGCTAGAGGTGGCTTATTCCATTTCACTGAGTCGGGGACCTGGCGCTCTGTGTGAGGTGGGAGGGAGGCGTTAAGTGGTAAATATTGCGGAGGAGGCTTCCCCTCTGCTCCTACAGGTTGTAGATGCCAGTGGAACAGCAGCACTGTTACCACTGTGTTATCAGGGGCAAGGCCGTGCCTTCGGTAAAGTGTGAAAAGTGAACACTCGGTGTCATTTGCAAGTTCCATGGACGTGTGGGTCCGAGACACCTGAGTCGGGTCCGGGAAGGTGGGCTCTCACTGAGTGTGTCGCCTCTGGGTCCCAGAGGCTGCCTGATCCACTCGGTGTGGAGGAGGCTGTGCCTACATCGCAGCTTCACGTTCACGCTGGGCGGGGCCCACAGCTGATGCTGTGTTTTTCCCCAGAAAACCCCACCGAAGCCCCCAACTGCTCCCGCCACTTCCAGTTCCGGTGTGAGAATGGCCGCTGCATCCCCAGCCGGTGGAGGTGCGACCGCGAGAACGACTGCGGGGACTGGTCCGACGAGGAGGCCTGTGCAGGTAGGTGGTCCCAGCGCCGCCCACAGCCGGCCTTGGAGGGGCCCGGCCCCTTTAGTGACTCGGGGGGTAGCTCTCTGAATTCTGTCCCCTTCTTAGTTGGATACTAGAGTGGCTGCTTCTGTTTCTGGGGCTACGCACCCCACAGTTCGCAGGCGCAGGAAGGACCTGGGGCCTGGCTGCTCCTGGTGTGGCCTGCAGACCAGCAGCCTTGGTCTTTCCTCAGCGCAGTCAGAATGTCCGACCTCACCCAGAGCCCACATTTTAACAGGCTCTTCAGGTGCCATGTGCCTCGAGCCACGTGCCTGGTGCCTCATTGGACCCAGGTGCCCGGGGCTTCAGAGCCATGTGCCTGGTGCCTGGTGCCTCATTGGACCCAGGTGCCCGGGGCCTCGGAGCCACGTGCCTGGTGCTCCGGGGCCTTGGAGCCATGGGCCTCGGTGCAGTGCATGCTGTCCCTTTTGCTTTTGGTTTCCTTGTCTCTGAGCCAGGCCTCTGGGTGGCTGTCATGGGTGGAATTAACCAGAACAGTGTTCCACCCCCCACCTGTGCGTCTGAGTCACCTTCCTTTCAAAGCAAATGCATCCGAGTGTGATTAGCTCAAGTCAGATACCGCAGGTGAGGTGCTGCTCCGGAGAGGAAAAGCAGGGTCCGCTCCGACCGCCAGGCTGATGGTTTTGAGAGGAGCTGCGGCTCAGAACCTCGCTGGACACGGAGCTGGGTGGTGCAGCTGAAATGGGCGTCCACACGAGTTTGGGACCTATTTTGGCCTCAGATTGAACTTCTTGTAACTCTTTCTTTTTTTTCTTGGTGCTTCCTCAGATTCACACATTCTCCCCTCCCCCACTCCTGGGCCTGCCACATGTCCACCTAATTACTTCCGCTGCAGCGGCGGGGCCTGCGTGATGGACATCTGGGTGTGCGATGGCTACCGGGACTGTGCGGACGGCTCAGACGAGGAAGCCTGCCCTTCGCCCGGTGAGTGCAGCGCCCTCTGCCCGGCACCTGCTCTGCCGGGAGGACCTTGGGGTCACCCTGGCACCTGCTCTGCGGGGAGGACCTCGGGGTCACCCTGGCACCTGCTCTGCGGGGAGGACCTCGGGGTCACCCTGGCACCTGCTCTGCGGGGAGGACCTCGGGGTCACCCTGGCACTGTAGGGCCAGGCTGGTGCCTGCTCTCTGGAACTTTGAGCTCAGAGGCCAGGCTGCTCCTCACTCCAGAGCAGGGGGACTCATGGGAACGGGAACTGGAACTGGGGTGTCTCGTCTCCTATAATTGCTCTCTGATCTTCCTGCGAGAGAGGGCAGCCTCCCGTCTCCCACCCGCTGCGTTGGGGCACCTTTGCTCTCCTCCCAGGAACTGCCATGGGAGCGGTGGTGGTGGTGGTGGTGGGGGGGGAGGGTTGGTGTTGGTGTGGGCGGGAGCCCAGCTTCCCTGCTTATGGGCGGCTCTCCTACTGAAAGGCGGGGGAGCCTGCCATCTAGTGGCCGGATCAGCAGCGGCTGAACATGTGCAGAGGCCGGGCCGCAGGAGGCTGGGCCGCAGGAGACCCCATCCGGTGCGCGCCCTTAGCTGCATCCAGAGGCAAGGGTGCTGCTTCAGGCTCAGTTATCCCAAGAGTTGTTTGCCAGGCTTTTGTTGGCAAACTCCTCGGCCGCCACCTGCTTTTCCTCCTCCCAGATGAGTCCCACGCCACTGCCCTGCCCTGTTCAGAGGCTTCAGTGCTTCCTTTTGTCCTCGGTCCAGGGGCTAGACCAGCCCCTGCCCTGCCCATCGCTTCTCACACCCGTGCTGGGCCCGCTGCGGCTCCGCGCCTGCTCTCACCAAGTTCCTTCCGCCCGGTTTGCTTTGTCAGAGTCCTCTGTCCTCCTTGACCTTGGAGGACAAGGTTCCCCTACTTCCCTCCAGCAACGCCCACCGTCCAACAGACAGGGCATGGGTTTCACAGCTGGAGAGACCAGGATGAGGTCAGTGTTTCTCCGAGCCCGACCCCCGCTCCCTGCGACGGAATCCCGGGTGGTGGTGGCCGTAAAGGCACAGGCTCAGGCTCCCAGGTGGAGCCAGGAGCTCCCATATGCTCATAGGCCCCTGAGTGCGGGCTTCCTCCTCCAGCCCCTCCTCACGGAGCCTTTACATGATGTCGATCTCTTTCCCAGCCTCAGTGAAGTACCTTCTGATTCTTGACTGATTGGCTGGCCATTGCTTCCTACATGTTTCATGCGTGTAAATATCTTCTGCCCATAGTGACGTGTGAGCCTTGTGTGGGGGTCATGCATGCTACGTTGACTCCACCGCTGGGCGTATCACAATAATAGGCAAATAATTAGGTGTCCCATACATACTTCTCAAATTAAACTGATTGGAAAACCCCCAAAACAAAACAAAACACTTCGATCTCTGCTTCCCCCCAAGGCCCGCCTCCCTATTCAGTAACTGGGTCATCCTTCTCTGCAGTGTCTTTGAATGTTGAAACTCTGATGAAGACGTTAAGAAACTAGCGAGTCCGACTCATCCCCTGAGTGAGCAGACTCCTGGTTAGGGATCCCTTCAGCTTTTGTGAAGGTTGTTTCTGATGCACATTGTTGCAGCACCTTTAGCTCGGTGGTGTCTCGCTGCCGGATGTCACTTAGTGGGACAGTCACCTGCTGGTTCCCCGGAAGCCACACACGATGCGAGATTGTAACCTCCCTGTGCCAGAACCTTCTACAGGCTCCCTGTGGTCCAAGTGTGAGTGCAGGACTTACTGTGACCAGCTCGTTAGCCTCATTTTTGCCTTCTTCTCCACAGACCTGTGTTCACAGAGTGCAGGGGGTGGGAGAGGCCCCTTTGGAAATTCAGTTAAACTATGAAGACACAGGCTGTGTGAAAGTTGAGTGGTTGCTGTGTGGTGGCTTGTTAGTGGGGTTATGTGTACCATTTGCTAGTGCTCGCCACCTGTCAGTAGCCTCTCAGTCATTTCCCAGAGTCAACACATCAGATAATCCTCAGCTCCAGTGTGTCTTGGCACTCCCCCCCCCGCCTCTGGGCCTCCTCCTCCCCCAATTAAACTATGACACAGGCTGTGTGAAAGTTGAGTGGTTGCTGTGTGGTGGCTTGTTAGTGGGGTTATGTGTACCATTTGCTAGTGCTCGCCGCCTGTCAGTAGCCTCTCAGTCATTTCCCAGAGTCAACACATCAGATAATCCTCAGCTCCAGTGTGTCTTGGCACTCCCCCCCCCGCCTCTGGGCCTCCTCCTCCCCCA